AAGAACCAAACGGGGGAATTCCTCCCAACAATTATCTGGCGACCACGAAGGGACTTCCAGCTCACCCAGCTACTGGACCGGGCCTGGAAGAGCCATCACCCAGCCGGCAGCAGACACCTTGGTCCGCGGGGAAGCCTCCACGGACCCTGCCCGGTCGGCAACATGTATTAAAGGGAGTTTTTGAGTCTTGCGCTCAAACAGCTACCTGGAAAGAGGGTAAGTGCCACCAAATTTAAATTTATTAAGTTAAAGGGTCTGGGAAACGAAAGAAAGAGTTTATAAATGTGTGCATGGGGCATCCTCCTCTGAGACCCAGCTGGAGCTCACCCCCTCTGTATGCCCTCTAGCCGCACCCCAGCCTGCTGCTAGCTCCACTGGAGCCGTGACCAGAGGGATTCGGGAAAGGAAGGGAGGGGATCAGAGCGTGAGACCTTCTGGTGAAAGAGGAGAGCCGAGCGGATAGAGAAAGAGGGAGAGGATTCTATTTTGTGTAAGTCAGGACTCTTTCTGCCAGCAAGTATTTAGGCAATAGGTCAATTTAGAGCAGCCACTTACCTCTGAAAGCAAGCAGAGGTCCGCATGGACATTCGAGGTCCGCAAAACAGTGGCAGTGAAGCCAGCCAGTAGGAGAGTAACCCGTACCTTCTGAGGGGAAGCCAGAAGTGTCTCTACAGACCCCTTTTTGGTCTGAAAATGTGGCAGATCCAGAGTGCTCCATGAGTCCCCTTTTTGGACCCACAAAACCATGGCAGAAGGATGAAGTCTCACAAGGAGGCTTCCGGTGTGTAGTGCCCGATAGTGTTAGAGGAAAACCCCACGTTATAGAAGGAGAAGCATGGGAGGTTCCAATTCAAGGGCTGAGATAGGTTCCCCAGTAAAGAGCTTGCTTGAAACCTGGGACAGGAATCAGCTACCTGTCTAGGCCGGTATGAAAAAGAAACGGTTAAAGGAATTATGCAAAAGATGGGCTTTGCTTAAAGATGAGTGCTGAAGACAAATTTGGCCCGAAGGTGGCACTCTTGAACTCAAAACACTAAAAGCGCTTAGATCAAGGATAGAACCAACCCAACTACCCTACTGGTACTGCTGGGCTGAACTGTCCAGACAGAAAAACCCGATTCAAGTCAACTTAAAACCCCAGCTCCCCTTAGATAACCCTGAACCAACCTTCAACCCTATTGAACAGACCCATACCCGGGTGACCGAAGGGCCAGACTGAACACATTTTAACCCACACCCCCTTCTCCCCATCTGACTTGGTTGTTTGGAAGAAGGACACTCCCACCTTCCGAGCAGACCCCCAGTCGGTCATAGAAACTATAAAATCTATTGTGGATACCCACAATCCGTCTTGGGCAGACATGACCCAACTACTACATGTGTTTTTAACCAAAGATGAGTTGATGAAACTTTTTGAAAAAACGGAAGAGATAGCCAGGCATCCTATAATAAATGCGCCTGAGCAAGTACCCCCCACTAGGGTTGCCTGGCCTCTCGACCGCCCAGATTGGGATTATAACAATCAGAACCACTGGGATGACTATGCAAGGGCAAAAATTAATTTAATGGAAGCCCTCCAGGAAATAGGGAAAAAGTCCCTCAATTGGGCTGAATTCCAAAAGATACTGCAGAGGGACAAGGAAACCCCAGATGCCTTCTGGGTCCGTCTCTTGGAAGCCGGAACCACATTTGCTCTTTAGACATAGGCTGCCAGAAAGGCAAAAACATTCTTGCCGCCACTTTTGTTAATCAATCCGCAAATGATATCCGGGGGCATTTCCATAAGATAGTCTCTAACTGGTCAACCTTAGACATCTCAGAGTTGCACAGGATCGCAAACTTCATATTTGACCAAAGGGAAAAATTAGCAGAAGAAGAGAAAGAAAGGAAGGAAGCAGAACGAGAGAGAGAGAGAGAGAAAAGAGGCATAGAATGGAAAGGAGGGAGGACTTGCAAGCTTTTGCAACGATAAATAGGGATAATGGGAGAAGGCACCACAAACCCACCCTGGGAAGAATAAAATGCCAGCGGAACAGGGAGACCTCGAATCAACATCGCCAACCAAGACCCCCCTTTCCAAGGGGAACCATCCATCATCAGAATGAGGATAGGGACCAAAATTTGCCCTGATGGGAGCAACAGGAGCGCGACCTATCTTGACTAGAAAGCAATTATAAGGTCATGTTTCATGGGCTAGCTATTCCTTTAAAGGATGGCCCCGATGGAGAACCCCTTTTAACAATAACTATAGGGGGAAAGGCGTATGAATGTCTCATTGACACCGGAGCCACCTCCTCTCTTATCACTACGGCACCTTTTAAAGATTCAAAAGTGCCTGGGGCCAAGGATAATGTAATGGGGGTGGGGGGAAAACTTATCCCAGTTGAATTTACAAACAACTTAAAGATAGAGGTTGGTCCTTTCTCCTTGGAACACCCATTTACTGTTTGTCCCCAATCCCCCCTGTCCCTCCTGGGTAGGGATTTGCTTTGTAAACTGGGGGCCACCATTAAATGCACTACAGAAGGATTCCATTTAGACATCCCAGTCAAACGGGCACATTTTACTATGGTATGTTTAACTGGAAATGAGGTCCAGCTGCCTATAGATCTCAGAAGCTTACTGGCCTCTCTGTGGGGGTGGGATCCTGCTGAGGTAGGATTGCTGAAAGCAGCTACCCCGGTTACAATCTAAGTGAAAGCAGGACCACCACCATGCATCCCCCAGTACAAAATACAGCCGGAAGTGATAAAGCCGATTCAAAAACTGATAACAGCGTACCTAAAGCAAGGGGTACTACATAAATGCACTTCCCCTTGCAACATCCCAATCTTTCCAGTTCAAAAATCCAAATTAGACAATGAAGGGAACCCTATTTATCTCTTTGTACATGATATGAGAGCTGTGAACAGTCACGTGGTACCATAGTGCCGAACCCAGCTACCATAGTCACAGAAGTGCCGGCATCAGCCACCCATTTTACAATAGTTGATCTCTGCGCAGCCTAAGGAGGTGTCTTACTTAGGGTATATTATTGCCCCTGGGATTAGGAAATTAGCACCCGGGAGAGTCGAGATCATCCTAAGACTGAAACATCCTCAAACAAAACACCAAGTCCGCGCCCTATTAGAGGTCTTAGGATTTTGCCACCCGTGGATTCCAGCTTTCGGGGAATTGGCGAAACCTTTAGTCCAATTAACCGCAAAGGATCAACCAGATCCTACTGAATGGATGAAGGAATTGGCAAATACCTTCAAAAAAATAAAGCAAACCCTGGCCTCAGCCCCAGCTCTGGGTCTCCCTAATTACAGAAAGCTTTTTTTCCTTTTTGTCCATGAATATAAAGATGTGGGTTCAGGGGTGTTGGCGCAGAGATTCAGCAACACTCAGACCGGTAGCCTACTACTCTGTCCAATTAGATCCTGTAGCCAGAGGAGCCGTTCCGTGTCTAAGAGCAGTGGCTGCTACCGTAGAACTAGTTAAACGATCAAAGAACCTGGTTTTAGGACATCCCCTTATTTTAAGAGTTCCCCATGATGTATTTGCAATACTCTTAAAGTCGCAAACTCAGGTATTCACCCAACAACGCCTGGCCCAATATGAAGTAGAACTATTCACTTCAGAAAACATTACCTTTGAACGCTGCAACACGCTCAACCCGGCAACATTATTGCCCATTAATCTGGCAGACGAAGTATTACATGACTGCTTGCACCTAGTCCAAGACACTGAACTACCACATCCTGACTTAACAGATGATCTCCTTCCGAACACAGACCTAGAATTGTTTACTGATGGCTCCTCCTACTTTCTTGATGGGACCCGTGTAACAGGAGCTGCAGTTGTCTCCCTGCATGAGTCAGTCTGGGCTTCCCCCTTGCCTCCATGCTACAGTGCTCAAGCAGACGAGCTTATTGCATTAAAAAAGGCATGCAAAGTAGCCGAGAATTGGTCTGCCAATATATATATTCAGATTCAAGATATGCTTTTGGAGTTTGCCATGCGACCGGTGCTCTCTGGAAACAGAGGGGTTTTTTAACATCCAATGGCCAGCCGATTGCTCATGCGGACCTCATATCTGACCTATTGAAAGCTATCTGACTACCCTCATCCCTAGCAGTCATCCATTGTAGAGCACACCAAAAGGATGATTCAAGGGTCACAAAAGGAAACCAATTTGCTGACGTCACGGGCTAAGTTGGCTGCCACTCAACCCCTGAAGGCATTCACCACTCTCCCTACATTACAATTAGGACCAACAGTACAATACCAAGATCTGTTAGAACCTGGGGAAATAAAAATGTGGAAAGAGAAATGCGAGGCAATATATAGAGAAGGATTTTGGTGAGTCCCGGATGAGAGACCCATAGCCCCAAGAGGTCTGCTATGGCTAATCTGTCAGCAGTTACACTCTAAAGGACACTGTGGGACACAGGCAATAGTAGATGCCATAAGTGTCAATGCTGCAAATACTGTATATTCTTGCTTTGACAATATGCAAAACTGTCTGGTAATTACTGGGTTAATACACAGCTTAGAGTGGGAGGGAGAAAAAGCCCGGGAAAGAAAGAGGAAGTAAACTTTTGACCTTCACACTAATTGGATAATGTGACTTGTGACTGCAAGACAAGGGAGGGGTTTAGCAAGAAAAGGTTGATGCCAGCGACAGGAAATTAGATTCTGGCATCAACCCGTCCATCATGGTGACCGGCAAAATTGTAGCTCTGCAAATAAAACTTTAGGAAACATGCCTGAAAGTTCTTTGAAGTGCTTCATTAGTCGGAACCTGTGACATCATGCCAGAATCCAACACTCTTTTCAAACGATCTGTGTCCCGAACTCCATCAGCTGCCTCTATGCCTGAGAGGAGCTGGCAAAGTTTCGGGGAAGATCTCATTATGGAGAAAGAAAGATTGCCTGAGACCAGCCCCGTAGCTGCAACAGTTTCCCGGGGGGGGGGGAGTGACAGCCAGCAAGCCGGGGGGAGAGAGAAATTTGGCAGATTTCCCAGCTGAGAGCGAAGACTTCAAAAGCAGAATGGACAGATAACACAGTTATGGGTGAGTCGTTGGAAAGATTTCAAAACTTAGAAATGAAAAACAGAAAACAGTTCCTACAAAGTGAAACTTACAGCCCTTCTATTGCAAATGTTCCTGCCATGGGCTCCAGCCCTGAGAGAGAGAATCCCAGTCTGAATCTTCTGCAGCAAAGGGGAAATTGAGTTTCCCAGCTTGTGGCTGATCCATGTCCTCTGAACTTACCACAGCTAATAGAGACCTTGCAATGTCTTGGGGTGGTACAGAAGCCAGGAAATCAGCAGCTGGGGGGAGAACAGCCACAGCAAGGAGGTTGGCCACAGCCCCCAAACGTGCAACCCCTGGGCATAAATCTGCAGCCAGGTTGGGGCCTACAGCACCTGGGGTGGCCACAAGAGCAGTGGGGAGCCCAGCAGGAAGCCTGTCAGACCCTGCCTTTGCCGGCCAGAGACCCCAACCCTGAAGAGAGGGTGAGTTCCAGTCTGAGGCATCTGCAGCAATGGGTAGATGGGTTTCCCCAGCAGATGAATGATCAATGGGTGAGAGGGTGGGAAGAAGTTTGGAAAAACACAAAAACTGCTTTGAAAAAGACTTTTGAAACCTATAAAAAGCAGGCTGATAAAAAGAGGGCTCCCCAAAGAACATTCCAAGTTGGGGAAAAGGTCTATCTGTCAACTAAATATCTACTCCTCAAATTGCCCAGCAAGAAATTGGGACCAAAATTCTTGGGGCCTTTCCCCATAGTAAAGGTCATCAACCCAGTCACAGTACAACTAAAACTCCCTACACTGTTAGGGAAAATTCACCCAGTTTTCCATTGTAGTTTGTTGAAGCCTTATCGGGGCTCCACTTTGAGACCTCCTCCAAAGAAGGCACCTGGACCCCTCGTAGTGGCAGGGCAGACACACTATGAAGTGAAACGTATTCTTGACTCCAGAATCTTTAGAGGGAAATTACAGTACTTAGTACAATGGAAGGGATACCCATTGTCTGAAGCCACCTGGGTGAAATCTAGTGAAGTGAACGCTGACAGATTGATCGAAAGATTTCATGTGAAACACCCCAGCAAACCGAAAGATAACCCTTAACATATGCTTTTGTTTACCTACAGGATCTGTCCTTCTTGTAAGGGGGGCCGGATGTCAATGCTGCAAATACTGTATATTCTTGCTTTGACAATATGCAAAACTGTCTGGTAATTACTGGGTTAATACACAGCTTAGAGTGGGGGGGAGAAAAAGCCTGGGAAAGAAAGAGGAAGTAAACTTTTGACCTTCACACTAATTGGATAATGTGACTCGTGACTACAAGACAAGGGAGGGGTTTAGCAAGAAAAGGTTGATGCCAGCGACAGGAAATTAGATTCTGGCATTAACCCGTCCATCATGGTGACCGGCAAAATTGTAGCTCTGCAAATAAAACTTTAGGAAACATGCCTGAAAGTTCTTTGAAGTGCTTCATTAGTCGGAACCTGTGACAATAAGGAGAATGTGGTATGCCCCAGGGGTCTCCAGTGAAGCCACTTGGATAGCCAAAACATGCCAAATATGCCAAGGAAACAATGCTTCCTCAAGAAAGGCAACGCACACAGGGGGGAGACCATGGGCCCAACGCTCCTTTGAAAAACTCCAGCTAGATTACATTCAGCTCCCTAGGAACAATGGTTACCAATACGTACTAGTCTGCAGAGACCAGCTCACCCACTGGGTGGAGGCATACCCATGCCGCCACACCACTGCCCTGGAGACCGCAAGGCACCTACTAAAAGAACTTGTGTCCAGATTTGGAGTCCCAAGTGTTTTAGACATGAACAGGGGCACACACTTTTTGTCGCAGATAATCACACATGTTCTCCAAGCATTGGGCATTAAATAAGACCTACACACACCGGGACACCCCAGTTCCTCGGGGGGGGGAGGGTAGAGAGACAGAATAGAGAATTAAAGACTCTCCTAGGCAAACTCTGTCAGGAGACCTGCCTGCCCTGGCCCCAAGCACTACCCATAGTCTTGTTCCACCTTAGAACCCGGCCAAGGCGAGACATAGACATCTCCCCCTTCAAATTGTTGTTTGGTCGACCACCTGACACACTCAAAGACCTGGACCCCCAGTCCCTCTGTTTAGAAAAAGGGGAGGTAATCTTATCATCCTATCTTACAGCTCTACACCAGAGGCTCAGAGAACTGTGGAAGCAAAGTGCCCTGACATAGACCTTACCATTAGAAGAAAACCTACATCGTTTTGAACCAGGGGACTGGATTTGGATAAAATCATACAGCCGCAAGTCACCACTACAACCAAAGTGGAATGGGCCCTTTCAAGTTCTGCTAACCACCCAGACAGCAATCAAAGTAGCTGAAAGGAAAGCCTGGATCCACTGGATGCACATCAAACCAGCAGTTGTAGACCACAGCATTATACCTGAGGCAACACCAAAGGTTCCACCCCTGAGGCTCAAGAAAAACCCAGAAACCGAGGAGTGGACACTAAAAACACTTTTTGAAACTGAAACAAATGGGGGAGGGAATTAAGTTCATCTTTGTTAAAATCCTGTATACTATTTATATTGTATTTTTGTATTTGAAATGTACCTCTGGGTTCATGGAACCAAAATTATTTCCAGACAAGGGGAATGTATGGGAGTATTTAGCAAGAGAAGTGCTAAACACCACAGATTTTTGCCTGGCTGGGGGTAGATCAGTAAAAGACATCTTAACCACATGCCTGAAGGGAGTAGCAATAGCACCAAAAGCCATCATAAATGACACTAAGTTAAGAGGGCACCCACTGACAGCCTCATACTACAATATTTTTGATTGGGGGACCAGTACAAACATAAAAGTCAGCAGCATGTATATATTGCAAGTGGCAACTGTAACTCAAGCAGCTACTTGCTTCATACTGACCGGATGCCACATGCCTAAGGTCTCCAGCTGCTACAATCTCACTAACACTGAACTGGCCTGCAACAACACCAGGGCCATCACCTTTTCATACGGCTATGTGAAACTTCCTACAGGATGGTTTCTGCTATGTGGCCTAAAAGCTTATTCCTACCTGCCAGCAAACTCCACAAACTCCTAACTCCTTGCACGTTAGGGTGACTAACCATGCTAATGCCCTCCCTGCAAAGGCGGCAAGGGAGAAGCTTCCACACGTTACCTCCTGACTGTGACTCAAAGGCCTCCCTCCTCACCAAAGCTGAATGTATTGCATTGGCTGTCTCTCTAGTGGAAGTGCCAGGGCTTGCAGCATGGAACTCAAGGAATATAAACAGCTTGGCATGTACCCTAGCTAAAAGTCTAAACACCACCTCCCATGCTCTAGATGCCTTGAACAAAGAATTAAGGCAAGTCAGAGAAGCAACCCTCGAGAATAGAGCAGCTATTGACTACTTATTGTTAAGGCACAATCATGGCTGTGAAGAATTCTATGGACTCTGCTGTTTCAACCTATCTGACCAATCTGGGCTAATTGAACAAGATATCAAACATTTAAAAGAACTAGCACAGAACATTGGACACAACCAATCATACTGGGACCTTTCCTGGCTTTTCTCATGGTTACCAGATTTCCATTGGTTGAAAATTCTCATTGCTAGCGTAATCCCAGTCATAGTAGGTGGAGCCCTCCTTTGTTGCCTATGCCAATCAATTCCTTTAGGGTTAAAGTGCCTAAAGATCTGCATGACTCCCATCAGAGGCAAAGAACAGAGCAAGAAAACCTCTCTCATGATGTGCCAAATTATCACCACTACCGTATATATGAACCAGTTAGGCTAATCACTGGTACACCAGTGATAGCCCAAAATGGGGGAATTGATAAGAGCTGGACACCCCCTCCCCACCCCAACGAGGGAATGACCAGACAAACACAGGGAAAAAACCCAATATGAACTAACCTGATTCAGCAGCAGCCTGAGGCTGGATGGCAAACACTTAACACACACTGAATGGAGAACTGGCTAGCAGCAATTAGGATTAACAAATACACGACAATAAAGTAATTAACACCTTTTAGGCAGGATTAGGAAGGAAATTTGCCCAACAATAGTCACTGACTAGCAAATCAGGGAAGACAGATTCGAACTCACCAATCAAAAATGACAAGTTTGGAAACCACGAAAGGGTATAAAAACTCATGTTTGAAGACCATTCTGTCTAGCTAGCCAGGGATTCATGCTGAATTGTCACTCAACTTTGATCTCCGTGATTAAATCTCTCTTTCCGGTAGCTGGCTTCACGATCTATTTCTTCTGTGCTATGCCGTCAAGGAGAATCCCGGCTGGAAGAGCGGAATGGGGGAATTCCTCCCAACACCCTGGTCTTCACTCAGGTTGACTAGGTACTGGTATGAATAGAAATAATGATGTGTTTTCTTCTGTTTCCTGCTGCAGGAATGACATTAGGATTCCTGCTGTGTTTTTGATTAATGGCCGACCTGCAAGTTCTGCAGATGGATGGAAGACTTGTTTTTGCTTTTGCTTTGTAGGCACACAAGAGAGAAGGAGAAGGAAACAACGAATATCTCATGTCAGAGTAATAAGACCTTATTTCCATTTCATAAGTGTTAAAATGGAAATTAATTGCAGGGTCATTAAAAAGATATTTCTAAGGCAGTCACACTCATCTTCTTTAGTTATAAATTAATATAGAAAATCTGGGTTCAATCTTCAAATAGGTACACAAATTAGTCTCCTTAGAAAGAAAGATGATTCTGATAGCCTGGCAATTTGTAGCACTCCTGCCTCCTGCTTATACTTTATTAATTAAAAAAAGTTGGAAAGTGAAGAAGATTGGTGAGCATCATAGTGTTCACACTAATTCTCACACTGTCTTGGGAACCAAAGAAGCAGTAGCAGGTGGGACATTGTATTTCTTTTGGCTTCTCCTGCCTCAAACAACGTATCATTTGCTGAGATAAGAGGAATCATAGTCTGATACCTTCAGAAGGCATCAGAAGGGTGAGCTAGTGAAGAAAATATTTCTATCTATAGAACTAGGGGTTACACATATCTCCTAGGTTATTATAAATAATGATACAGTCATCTGAAAAAGTAAGTACACTCTCTTTGAGTTCTATGGTTTTACATATCAGGACATATTAAAAATCATCTGTTCCTTAACAGTTCTTAAAAGTAGGTAAATACAAACTCAGATGAACAACAACACGTAACATATTACACTATGTCATCATTTATTTCACAAAAAGAAAGTCAAAATAGAGAAGTTATGTGTGAAAAACTAAGTATAGCTTTACTGCTTTATACTGGAATTGTTTTGCCTTGCCATAGAAGTATACATAAACTAGGCCCCAAAGACTTAGGTCAGTGGTTCTCAACCTTTCTAATGCCGTGACCCCATATTACAGTTCCCCATGTTGTG